TCACCAGACTGTATACCTCGTATAGCAATAACACTCTACCAAGTTTCATCACTTTTTGTCGATGAATTGAGAATGATGTTATGTTGGTTTCTTGGAATGCCATACCACTGGTATTATAGTAACATTATGTCGTATCTACAGGGCCTTCACTGGGGCTCAAAAACTGGCACATCGTGGTCGTGGATCTTAGCAGATCACTAGCATCTTCCACCTGATCTTTGCACAATAATTGTCGTGTCAACATAACCTTACAATCCCTTGTTCCTCTACAAATGAAAGTTTTGAAAATGAAAAAATTAAATTAATATTATTGAGCAGATTGCATGCTATGTCAATGAGTGAAACTTCATGAGACTATTCTGTATATTTATAGATTATTTTTGATCGCTTAGACACCTCTGTTATTTGGGCTATATCAATCTACCTACTATTATCATTTACAAAATATTTGCTGGTTTTTTAATTATCTTACTGAATATAAGATCGCTTCCAATTTACTCCCATTAAAAATTAACCAAACTAAATATATTTAATTAAATTATGAATTATTTAAATTCTTACCTTCTACACATTATGTACTTCACCCGTTGGTATTTGTTGATACAGTATGTCAGTTCATGAACTTGTTCCATTATACTTCGGAGTAAAATCTTTCTTTCGGTACCAACAGAATTGAACAATCTAAAAAAAGGAAATCAACATTTAGATGTTGATTTATATATAAAACTTTTATTTTCCAACTGTGTTGACCAAATTTTATCCACCTAAATTCGGATTTCCTCGTATTAAAAAATATGTTATAGAACACACTGTAAAATACAGATTGAAAAACAATTTCTCTCTTTACATCAATCTGATTAATCAAATAAATAAAATTAGTGATTTGTTTAATTTGTTTATTATTTTATTAAAAATTACAGTGTGTCTATAAGGAGCAATACCATGACAAGCCAATGCAGTTTATCAGTTCATTATAATCTTAAAAAGTACAGTCAAAATATATTTTTAGGAATCAAATCCACCTGTAAATAAAAAAAGGCGATTAAGTAAGGTCAACATGTATATGAATGTGGGCAGCTTAATAATAATCTGATCTCTCAAGCCATTCTTTATTCATAGGCCATACAAATTATTTACAATATAGAATAATATAAAATAAAACCAATGTCATGGTTATTTGAAACAGTGAGGAATACCTTTATGTTGTTAGTGCGCCTACTGCAAGACTGAGATTTAGGATTTTCAACAAGTCAATGAATTTGTTCATATTTTCTTCCATGATTATGAGTCTGTCTTCAAGATCAGTGATCATTTCCCAGCCGTCTGTATAGTCCTTAGGAGGTGTATTATATAACTCATCGATCTGCGTCACGTCGGATGGGGTCAGTATCATTCCAAATTCCATTAACTTTTGTCTGTGAGGTGTGAATTTTGTTGAAATGTTTCCTTCCCTCACATCCGGAAATGATGGTAGTTTTTCTTTAATCTCCTTTAAAAGACCTAAATGTTTGGTTACTCTAATAGTATCACACAGGAGTCCAAGATTCCGTGAACTCAGATGATCATATGTAATCAAATTATTCAGCAAGTTCATCGTCTTATTTACTTGTGATAGCTTGTGATTGTCCACCTTGTCTCTGAACAACACTTTCAACATAGAAAGACTTCGGTGGCGGTCATACCAGCTAGAAACAACAGCTTTCAGCACACTGAAGTCCAACAATTCTATAAAATAATTATACATTTAAGATGTCAATATTTAAGCCTATTTTATTTGCATTTTAAAATGTAGATTTCTATGGATAAAACAATACCAGGAATAAATTATCTTCGTTAGCAAACCCAACAATACAACTTAAACATACAGACAGCTCATTGAGCCTTTATCATTCCTATGATCCCTCCATCCATCCATATTATATATATATATATATATATATATATATATATATAAATCATCAAAGGTACATATACAGTTTTTAAATAAGAACATGATGGAACATCGTAGGCTACCCTGTAGCTTTCGAACGAATAAAGTCCTATAAAAGTCATTGGTGTGATAATATTCCTCCGACGCGATTCGAAGGTGCGACCTCTCGCTGACAAGTAAGAGTAGTATTCCATCGTGAATTTTGTGCTGCTGTCAAATCTATATATCTG